GAAGATAAAATGAAAATATAGAAGAATCATTATCATGATCTCATGCGAGAATATAACTGATAACTATTTATCTTTTTTAATACAAACTAACTTCGGATCAAGTTCCAGAGCATATTGTTTGAAGCGATTAAACCAAGGCGGTTTATTCTTGAGAACAGTCCTGTTTGTGGTATGAAGAGCCTGCGGTTTGTAATCGTTATACAAATCCGTTGGTAAGACAAAATAAAAATTGATATCTGAATTGTCGTCCTTAATATATTTTTCCAAGCCAATCCTGATGATAGGATGATTATCAGCAATAGTCATTTGGAAGAATGTGTCGGGAGAAACAAATGCATCGAAAGATGCGTTATTTTTTTGAGTTGGTATACAGTATCGGTTTTGTATAACCTCATCAGGTTTGCTGAACAACAATTTTTCCCGAGGAGGTATTGTTAGTTTGCGATTACTATTACTTATCCCGAAGCAAGAGGTAGTCTTTCCAAATAAAGGACGAACCTTGAATGTCCCTCCATTTAATAACTTTCCATGGCGATCCGCTCAAATATAGTACCCCGAAGTGTGCCATAATCACTTATTGATTTGCTAGCTTGCACAAAAGTCTGCAACTGTTCTTTGTAATTCGTTAGGAGTACATCCATTACCTTTTCATAAACATAATCGGATGCAAAATCTAAATTTGACAATGTATAGAAGGGTACCCCTTCATTATCTTTGTCTTGCTTGGTTACTGCAGGAGAGGAAGACTCCCCAGCATCGTCTTCTACTTCACTCATTTCCTCTACTTCCTCTACTCCCTCTACTCCCTTTCCTTTCTCACCTACTTGTGGCACGTTCGTACGGATATGAACAATTTTGTGACTGGCGCTATTGTCCTCTGTGGTTTCGCCAACGAAATTTAATATCTTATCATTAACTGAGTTAATTGCCTTCTGAAGGAGTTCTTGCTGAGAAATATTGAGAGCATAAAACAAGGTAAAGCGAGGAATTCCACCCCATTTATTGTGTAATTCCTTAACCTTCTTTTGAGTAAGATCACAGAAAAGCACTTTCCTGCACGTATCAGTCTCTTCCCAAGACCACACTGGCATGTATCGAATAGTTGTCCCAAGCTTATCAAACGTACTATAGTAACGCTTTTGAGGCGAACAGATTAGAATTGTCTTGGCGACATATTCCATTGGCTCCCTGCCATCAACTATATACCAAACATCTCTATTTTTCAGGTAACCTCCGAATATGGGTCAAATTTACCGCAATTTTCAATGAAAGAAGAACATTCCCCCACAATGTCATATCTGAGGAAATCGGTCTCAGCACAGCTACACTTGTCACCTTTTATCGGCATCAGAAATCTCCACAAAGGACTTTGTTAGATAAAATCGAAACCTAGATCGAGAAAGAAAACCGGAAAAAAGATAATTCAGTTATCATTAGTGGTAGTAGTATGTAGCAATAATTTTTTAAGTAGCAGTAGTAGAACTATAAATAATGATAACAATAATAATGATGATAACTTAGATAATAGTGTGGAGTAGGGAAAGGAACTCTCATTTTACGGGTTAGGGCTCAAGATGCTTCCTCCCTTTAAACATCTGCTACTCCATACATTTTATAATTTCATTTTTTAGTTTTATCATGATAAATGAAAAAATTAGAAGGTCAACACAAAATAAAACTTTTTATTGTTTCATAAATATAAAATTTTTTAGATCAAATATTCTAAACATTATTAACTTTTGTGAATGAGCGTGTGGCGTACAATAAGTAAACTACTGTGACTAAGATAGATACCGATTAATATCTCTGTTGACATTTCCAAATTCCATTACTACCTGAGTGTATTCGGGATTAATTTCAAAAGGTTTATTTCGTGTTTCTTTAGACTTAATGTCCACTTTCACATCTGTATCACTTTCACTTGTAATCCATATGAATATTATCTCTAATCCATCCTCGAAGCCTGATATATTTGATTTTAAATTTGGCCAAATACTGGAGAAAAATATACCCTCAGAATCTGAATGACTACTCTTATCAAAGGTAATCTGTATTGGGGCAACATACAATTTATTATTTGTT